CGGCATTTTTCATTTTCCCACCTAAATGGAACCTGTGTTCGCAAAATTTGAAGCAACTATTCATCTCATTTAAAATAAAATAAAATTGCATAACTGGGTCAATTTGTGAATTAAATTCTGAAAGTGATCTGCAGCTGTTTGCAGTTTTGAAGAGCAAGGAATGGGTGGGACTAGAAAATGCTTCCATATACAATTAACTCTCAGATTTTAAGGCAAGAAGGAGATTTTTTTTCCCACCACTGATTGCTATCAGTTCCTTCAATTCTTGATTTCTAAAATGAGAAGTGCAACTGCTTAATTGCCTTGAAGTTATACTCTGACTGCAAAGTCTGCTCTTGATAGATGGGTAAGAAGGGAAGAGAGAGAAAAAGAGCTATTTCCTTCTCAGTGGAACTAGTAATTTGCATCTGCTCAGGTTGGCTCTTTTTATTAATAACTCCAGGGGGCTTTCGTGTTTGAAATTATCCCCAACAAAAATGGATAATTTGCGAATGCCAATGTGATCTGCCATAATCCTGCACATCCCAGGCTAACCTTTCTTTACCTTGGAACTCTCCACTGCACATACTTTAACTGCCAGCATTATCCTCTAATGTCATGGGGACAGGGAGAATTATATGAAGTGAACTTAAGTATCTGGGAACATAGGCATATTATATTTATCTTTTTTGCAATTTTTATTCATCTGCAATGTTGCAAGACAATTTTCAAATTTAAAAATATATGACAGTTCTGCATGTAGTATAAAGTAAAAAAAATTAAGAAATGTTTATTCCTCATATCATAATTTAGAATTAAGTATAAGTATTTTACCATACATTTTTAAAAATAAACCTCTGAAAAATATGCCTTCAGGAATTTATGACCTGAAGGAGAATATACAGAAGAACTCATGGAAAGATAGGGCAATTGGGTCAACATTTTCGCACAGCTCAGGTGATGAACCCTCTACCTTTTTTTTGGAAATGGCACGTACTAGTTTGAAGCCACTGCCCCTCCTCCGGGAACATCTCTAAGAGCCTAAATAAAAATGGCATGAACCTCCAGAGATAAGAAACAACATTCTATTTCTTCCCTAAATAGCTTATGCTTTTAGAATATATTTATTGTCATTGTTTAACCACAACAAAATTAAGTGTTGTCCACAGTGCACACATCACACAAGTAAAAACCAAAAATAAGAACATACAATATATATACACATCCTTCGCATTCTATTAACCATTGCACTGCCCCTAATATTGCACTTCAATGTTGCACTACATACAGTAGTATTTAATATGGTTACAGCTCTGGGATAAAAACTATTTTTCAGCCTATTTGTCTTTGTTTTTATTATCATGTACCATCTGCCAGATGGTAATAGTTCAAAAAAAGAATGTCTGGATGAGATGAGTCTTCAACAATGTTTTGAGCTTTCCTAAGACAGTGGGAATGGTACAGTTCATGGGGGGGGGGAGGAGAGGGCAGCCAATAATCCTCTGGGTGATGGTTATTACCCTCTGGAATGCTTTCCTATCTGCTACTGTGCAGTTAGCAGACCACACACAAATGCAATAGGTTAGAATGCTCTCTATGAAGCAATGGTAAAAGGTCACCAGCAGTTTTTCATTCAGTTGTTGTTTCTGAGAAGTCTCAAGAAATATAATCTCTGCTGGGCCTTCTTAGCCTTTATGGTAACACCTAGAAACCTAAATCTTTAAGAGCAATTCTATATTCTGCTCTATGTATATGTGAATGTATGCAGGCATATTCATTCTTATTTTATCTTTGGAGGTGTGCCTGGAGTTATCTTGGCAACATTTTTGGAAATCACTTGTCCTTTTTCTTGCTATGGCTGTGAGTAAGTGACAGACCAAGGTTATCCAGGTGACTTTGTGCCTAAAGTAGAACTATAACTCACAATCTACTGATAACTAGCCAGGTGACTTCAACCATTTCATGAAACAGGCTCCAAATATTATATACAACAATATGATTCTCAAACAGCACTACATTATTTTTATTAAGGGATTTTGCATTTTCTATTTTTATTTTTTTGCAGAGAGGTTTTTAAAATCAAGATTATCAGTGTGTCGTAAATCATTAATATAATAATGCACATTGAAGACTTGAACTATACATTATTCTGATATAATAAGAAATATCTTATGACATATCTTAATCCTGATTTCATTGAATTAATGTTTAAACTAGCTAGCTTTCCAGTGTTCGTATGTTACATAGATTCTGTTAATATAAATATAAGCAGAACTTTGCAATTTATTTCCTTTCTTTTCAAAAGAGGAAGAGGGAAGATATGAGAATTTTAAAGTCCAAAAATTTCTATTGGATATTCAGGAAGCATAGAACCTTGAATGAAGGTATATATGAACGGCATCAGAATCAGAATCATAGTAAAACACAATTTCCTATCATTGTATATCTTAATGTTAGGAAACAGTTGGCCTTTACGCCAAACTGAAGATATACAAAAGCATTTTTCTAATTCAGATTAGAAAATAACTGCAAAAGATAATTTTCCCTAATCATAATTTGCCCAGTGAGAGAGGAAATTAGATTGGTAAATTTAAAATATAGCCTGTGATCTGAAAGAGCCAATATAAAATGTGGCATGTATATTATTACTTATTACGTGACGACAGCTCTTACTAATTTTCAAGTTTCTTATTAATATTCATCAATGGGTTGAATATAAGAATAACAATAAACTGATTATAAACAGAAACATAACACAGTTGCCAAAATGACTCATTGCAGCATTTTGAAAAATTATAAAATGTGACTTCACGTTTTGGGGAATATAATAATAATAAACTATATGCTGCCCAGCTTCCAATAGCAATTTCAATTTGTGCATTGACAATTATTTAAAAGAAGAATGTATGTAGCTCAGAGGTGAGCTCTGGAGTTGTATGTGCTCTATGAGCTTGACTGTTTATTTGCAGATGTTTCATTACTAAACTAAGTAATATCATCAGTGCCAGAATGTGAGGTTTGTTCCCTGTTTATATATAGCAGCTTATCTTCCAGTGTTGATGGGGTGTGGTTTCTCCTTGGTACTTCCTTGATTAGGGTGCTGTTTTTGCTTGATCCTTTACAGGTGTTAATCTTTGCTTATGTGGATATTGGCTGCTGGAAACTATGTGTTCTGATCTTTTTGTTTCTTTCTTAGCTTTTGAATGGTATGTAAATGTGTTTTTTCACTAAGTATCTACCGATGGCTGATGTGTCTGAATTCCAAGTTTCCAGGGGTTTTCTAGCATTTTTTGGATTCAGCTTGAATTTGGATGTTCACAGTTTCCTAGTGAAATTATGGTTGAGTTTATCCATGTGTTATGAGATTCAGGAGTTTTCATCATGTCTTCTGCAAGTAAACAATCAAGCTCAGAGAGCACCAAGATCTCCACAACTGAAAATAGAGGTAGAGTTTTAGATATACACGTAATGTTTGACTTATAATCATTCATTTAGCAACCATTCAAAGTTACAATGCCATTGAAAAAAGTGGCTTATAACTGGTCCTTGCACTTATGACTGTTGCAGCATTCTCACTGTCATGTGATCAAAATCCAGGCACTTAGCAACCTGCAGGCATTTACGACAGTTGCAGCACCCTAGGGTCATGATCTGTAATCTTCTCAATTGGCTTGTGACAAGCAAAGTCAATGAAGATTTGCTCAACAACTACATGGTTTACTTGACAACTGTTGTAAAATCAGGCATGATTTATTTAACAACCATCTTCTGGTCCCAATTGTGGTTCTAAGTTGACTACTATAGATGGTTTTAGGTATAGCAGTGATAGATAACTTGTTGAAGAGCAATGCAAAGTTTTGTGTATTGCAAATGAAATCAGAAATCAGTTCATGGAACCGTATAAATTAATGGTGATAGGAAATTAATTTAGGTGCTACAGAGCAGCAACTGCAATGATGAACAAATTATAATTGTGTTTTCACTTTTTTAAAAAAACTCTCACATTTCATTAAGGAAATGTAATGTAATTCCTCTTCTTTGTAAGGTTCTAATAATGACTGGAAACAAAAAATAAGAAAGGAAAAGTAACCATGATAATGAAGCCAGGGAATGGAGAACCAGATATTTGAAAAGGTTATCTTTTCATAGTGTTTCCATATAATATTACATTGTGTCGTATTCTACCAAGGAGTATAGTTGATTCTCATGAATCTCATTTCATAGAAACATCATTAAATATAGGAAAGGAGAGCAGCTGAAATTAATTATGTCTTTGCATAATGCACATTGTTGAGCTTAAATCTATAGGATAAATACTGGTTATTATAAAAAGACATATTTATTATGAATAAATACACACATGTGCATGCACAAGGGCATAATGCACATACATATTTCTAACTCAAGTTCCATTTGTTCTGGGATTTCCAAGACATGAAAGTTGGACGTCCATGGATGTACAATAAGGATAATGAAAGTGATTTAAATATTCGTGAGATTCTTTATTTTGGAGTTATGCCTTTAGTAAAGGATGCAGCACCAGAACAAAGTGGATATAATAAGAGAACAAAAGGTTGCTGGTGCATAGAAATGTATTGTGCATCTGCAGGGTTTTTTGTAAGTTGCAGACATTAACCTGCTCTTTCTGACTCACTGGGTATATACAGTAGAAAGAAAATAGAATTCATAAAACACAAGGCTCATTAAGAGTATGGTTTATGGATAAGGTCTCCCTCCTCTTCTCACAGGAGTGAACTAACTGAATCAGATGAGATGAGAACATTGCTGTAATAAAAGGCTACACCCTTGGAGTTGCATTGCCTACTGTCTATGAATTCTTAAGACAGTATCTGATTGGGCCAGTTCCCTGCTCTGGTATATAATGTTTGAAATGTCTGTACTTGCTGGCTGATAAACAGCTTTCCTGGGAAAGCTGTGAGGGGTTAATAATGAGGTTTTATATCAGTGCTCACTGTGCAGCTATCTGAAGTCAACAACATCAACAGCGAATAGCCCACTACCTCAATTTGCGTAGTGTTATCATGCGTGTCATCAGGAAGTAGATCTGTAAAACCTCCAGGTTTTGAGGAGTCCTGTCCTATGCTGGCTCTGTTGGTGTCCACTGATTTGAGCAATTCCGAATGTCGTTTCCATCTGTGGCTATATCTGTAGGAGTCCATGTGCACATTTTTCTCCACTCGAGGGAAGTTCTGAACCATTTCATAAAATGCACCTATCAGATAAAGAGATAAGATAGGGTTCTTAATGAAGATAAAAAGAAATCAAAGATATTTTGTTTTTCTTATTTACAATGGGAACCTGGAATCCTACTAATAGTTTCAGGAAACCACTCAGGGTGTTTTCCAGAATATGCTACTGCATTCTTCTTCCTTCTCCAGTTTTCCATTCCTTCCCTATTCATCCCGTATTTAGTATTTCACAATCACCAGCATTCATTTTTCTATCTGTGAGAAGTATCCAGTGAGTGAGAATGTGCTCCACTTCAGCTTTGAAGCTGAATAGCTGATCTGAAGTGGAAACAAGTCAGTATTTCCTCAAAGAAGTTGAAGAAAATATATAGTGGAGCTTTGGAAATGGCATGGACACAATATTGGCACCTCCTTAACAGAAATATATCTTTTCCTGGGATCATGTGTCACTCTGTAACTCTTCCAAAAGGCTCTGCTGGTTTAAGGAGGTTTCACCAGTCACCCTCTACTCAGATTCAAAACACAACTCATCCAACTCTCAAACTTTTGAATAATGTCATATTGGCTACATAATTTAAGAATGACGTTTGTATTAGAATAGCTGATATAGAATTCCAGTAGAATTCCTGATCTTTAGAACAAGAATGGCCAATCTTTTGGGCTTGCAGACCAATGCCACTATAATATCACAATTATGGGGAGAGCTAAAATTTTCTTTTCTTTTTCTTTCTGAAGGTTATGAAGGGGTTAGGGGTCAGTCTTGAAAAATCTGAAGGAACTTTTTTATCCCTTAAATCATCCAGAAATGTGAACCAATCTATTTAAGACCTGGAGAATTTAGTGTTTTAAAGGGGTTCCATTAATGAATTAAACCTTGGAAAGGCTTAAGGCATCCATTCTGATCTTTAAACATACCCCTCCCCCTATCCCAGTGGTTCTCAACCTGTGGGTCGGGACCCCATTTGGGGTCGAACGACCATTTCACGGGGGTCGCCAAACAACGCAGTCTGCCATTTTCCCCCCTTTTCCTTAGCTGTGCTACTCCCTTTTATTCTATTGGCTTTTGAAAGCCAATAGAATAGACTCTCTTGAATAGAGTCTAATTCTATTGGCTTTCAAAGCCAATAGGAATTGTCCAGGCTGTCTCTGCCCTGCTGAGCCCGCCAAAAATCCCATTCTGCAAACGGTGCTGCACCAGTTGAGTAGTCCTCGACTTACAACCGGTTGAGTAGTCCTTGACTTACGACCGGTTGGGGGGTTGCGGCATTAAAAAGGTTGAGAACCACTGCCCTATCCCAAGAACAAATGGCCCAAAATTTCAGAATATCTTCTCAAATTGACAGGCAATGGTTTCAGAGAGAATATAATCATGTCTAGCTAAGTATGACTATATTTTTCTGCAGGTGATCTCTGGTAACCAGCAACAAGGTCCTACAACATAAATTCTGTTTCCTCTCTGTTGTGCATATACTTATGCTAAACACTACAAACATACACATTGTATCACATTTTGGTCACACACAGTTTTTCTTCTTTATGTTCTTTAATCTGAAGCCTACCTAGAGAAGACAGATTTACCATTGTTATTCATGAAAGTTTTCACATCCCACTTCAAATTTAAATGAACTTGGCCATAGTCATCCCAAAGTGAGCTGAATTTTTTCCATGGTTATATGATTTTAACTGGTGTAATGGATGGACTAATATGTAAGAATCAATGAACAACATTTCAGTATAAATCTAGTCTGCTATTATATTTTGTGGCAAAGTTCAAATTAAACTTAATAGTGAATAAGCAAAGTTTTAGAGCAATCCCTGCCCGAAACATTTAATCAAAACAAACAAAGCCAAGCTAAACTAAAATAAATACTCAACAATTACCACAGATAAGACTACAAGGATTGCGGGCATTACTGGAAGTTCCACAATCTGGGTGTATAAGATAATTCACAAGCAAATCCACTGAGCATTCAACAATCAAAATAATTTGTTATTTGCATTAAATTCTTTAAAAAGAATTTTGGCTTGAAAATATTTTAACTATATTTAACCACAAAAAAACTTTGCACAGAATGATTTGGACTAGTGATGCGGGGAAAGTAAAACTGTCTTTGCGTACAAATAATCTCCACAACTTGTGGGAAGAAAAGACCCCACCTCCCTGAGGTATAAACTCTGCACCTCTCATTCCCCTTACCTTTTTTCTTTGAAGAAAATGCAGCAAATGACCTTTCCTGTTGGAAAGACCTTAGACTTGTAGGGAAATTAACAAAGGACCTGACAGAGTTAACAGAGAATATATTCAAACCTAGCATTCAATTAGCACTGCAATGTCATTCAACTTCATTGGAAACAGCTAAGAAGACATTAACGAATAATTCAGTCATAAGAAAAATACACCGACTAATTAAAACTTGCCTAGCACCTTACATGGGCCGAGCTAGTGCTTTTATAATATTGCAAGTAGACTGTTTAGAAGCACTGGGTCAAACATGTGCATCTTTAGTGACTTCCCATCACATGAAATTTTGCACAGCAAATATATCAGGGCACTGTTTTGAAAAGAAAGATTAGCAACAAGGGGGTACATAATGAATATGTAACTGAACCTGTTTTTTGCTTTAATGATTTCAGCAGTTGTCCTTGAAAGGTTTGCATGAACTTAGGAGAGAAAATGATTAGGTAGCAATTTTATTCACCGCTTAGATTGAGTTTGAATTAAGATTGAAGCCCTATATCACAGAAAGAGAAAGAGAATGAGCAAAAAAGCAATCTTGCCCACTTCTAACTATTTTGAGATCAGACAGAATTAATGAATGAGTTGTTGCATGCATTCTGGACCACTTGTGCTTGCTGTTGATCAGCCCAACTCTTCCCAGTCAATGCAATCAATGAGAAGTACTATAGCAAGAATGCATGTATTATAATTCACTCAGTCCAGACAGTCTTGAAAAGAATATTTTAACAAAGGGACTGAGGTGAATGGAAAGAAACTGCTATTAAAAAAATATAATAGTTGTTGGCAAGGCCTCATTCTGCCTCCAAGTCACTTCCTGCAAATACTAAAATAGAAATCACATAGGGTCAGAGAAAGTGAAATAAACTTTAACTGGAAAAGAGATGATTAATTTGTTTTCCAGAGATATTCTTGACAAAGCTTGGGTCTCTTCCATTTAATTACCAATTATTATTGTTATTTTTTTTAAATGGTATTTTCCCTCATGCTGCTTACCTTATCATATTTTTTACAGTTTGACTTCAAATTATTTTTTGTTACTCTGTACTATATTTATACCATTTTTTATTTTTAAACTAAGTTTTAATTTATTGTACATTATCTAGAGAATTTCTGTAAACATAATTTACTATTAAATAATGATATATATATATAGTTTACATTTATATCGGCTTAAAACTAATTTCTTCTTCTCTATTTTCGGATTAAGGTGAGAAAGAAAGAATTGACCAATTCTCACAAAGGGGAAAAAACAATGGGATCTCCTAAAGATCTCTCTTTTTAATTTTTTCAAGAGGAATCTGAAGGTAGAGAGAGCAATTAATGAACCAATGTTATTTAGACTGATTAAAACAAAAAAGAAGACATATATAACCGTTTCTAACTGTTTTTGTGTTTTTAGGTTTTAATGTTATGACTTTCTTTCTTTCTTTCTTTCTTTCTTTCTTTCTTTCTTTCTTTCTTTCTTTCTTTCTTTCTTTCTTTCTTTCTTTCTTTCTTTCTGCCACCCATCTCAGCAAATGACTCTGAGTGGTGAATTTACTTCGTTGTCCAGAGTCAATTGGAATGAGATGGGTGGTTGTAAAAATTAAATAAATAAAATAAATGTTCAACTATACAAAAAGAAATTCAAAGTGGTAATGACTAGTGAATAGTTTGATTAATCATCTGCCTTTGATTTCTACCTCTCAAAAAAGTACTATGCAATTGGAAAAGGTACACAAAAGGTACACAAAAAATGATTAAGGTCTGAACTAGTTGCTGTGCAGGAAGAATATACAACTTTCAAGATTTTAACTTTAGATTACAAAATGACATAAAGGAATGAATGCAACAGATGTACCAATGTAGGCATGATGTCAAGAAAATAAAGAAGAAAGTTCTTCACAACTTAAAATACCTGGAATATGCAATAAACGTGTTGTCTGTGTTCGCGCGTATGTGTAGAGAGATGGGGTCAGAGAAAAAGAGAAAATAGAATATATATGTTGGTTAAATTTTAGATTTATTGGCCTGCTTTTTATTACCTTCTAGAACATACACCTAGGAGGAGTTGCTAAAGTTTCATTTGAGGAATTCCATATAAGTGATAGTAAAAGCAGGGGGAGGATGCTTACCATCAAGAATGATAATTTACTACCTACATGGAACTCATCTCATAAGAGTCAATAATCTCTTGCTGGTTGCTCTTACATCGATAGAATTAATCACAAAGATATAAAAGGCAAACAGAGCATCACAGTGGAAAAAATAAAATCTACAACAAATCAGCTATGCTTCCAGGATATACAGTATTCATATATTTTTCTCAGCAATAAAATGAAAACAGATTGCATTTTTCTCGGATGTTTTTCAATTTCACAATCTAGCAAATTGCCCTGATATTCTGTGGTTGCTTTCTATTTAAATCTTATACTAAGCAGGTGCAACTTCCCATTAAGGTAGAAATGCTGAAAGCTGTATGCAGTTTTTGAAATCCAATAATCTGATAAGCAAGATTACACAGATCATCCTTTGAAAATGTTTTGCTGCAAATAAGACAGCATTTTTTCAGAAGGTGAAGATTCCCAATTCTCACATCAATAAAAATATTAACATAATTCTTTAGAATATTCTTTGGAACATCCTACATTCTAGAGCAGTGTTCTCAATCTTTTTAATGCCGCGACCCCCAACCGGTCGAAAGTCAAGGACTATTCAACCGGTTGTAAGTTGAGGACTACTCAACTGGTGCAGCACCGTTTGCAGAATGGGACTTTTGGCGGGCTCAGCAGGGCAGAGGCAGCC